TTTTTGATAACATTTTCCTTTTTTAAGACTTGTTTTTATGAACGCATTCACACAATAAATACACTATTGTTTTAAATCATAATTCTTGACATGACTTTCTTATAACATTGTTTGCAATAAATTATACCTGTTTTCAATCGGATTATCATTGATTTCGTTTTGTAAATTATTTTTTATATTAATATATTAAGGTTATAAAAAATATGTAATGTGTCTGAAAATTATTGTTATTACTTAATTTGGTGAATATAATTACATTGTTTATATGTTTTAACCAAATAATCGTTGTTGTTTTGTAATTTATTTAATTTAATTTTATAAAGTATTTATAGTTTTTGTAAAAACATAGCAAAACTATACATTTGAATATTTGAAGCAATCTAATAGTTTACAAATTGCAATCTTTCATTTTGATTTGAAAATCTTGATTTAAAAATGTGTTATATAAATTATTTGCCATGAAATAATTTATTGTAAAACTACTATTGAATATTTTATAAGGAAAATTATAACTTAGATTACATTGGAAAATATGATTTATTTTATTATTTCCATAAACTTATTTATCATTTTTTACGGTGGTATCATTGCTAATGAACGTTACTCTACATTATGCTAATTGCTAAAATTATATACTATATTTTAATTTCATTACAAATTGATAAAATAGATTATTTTCCCAATTCTATGATATTATAATAATATTATTTACTAAAAGCATCACCGTAAATATAATACATTTTTACTCCAATTTATAATACTGTTTGATAAATTGGGCGCATTTATAGCCCACTGTTATAGAGGCGGCACAGGTATTAGAGTTGGGAACCGTTGGAAATACCGATGAATCGCAGACTCTTAAGTTCATCATATTCTTAACCCTCAACTGGGGGTCGACCACAACATCGGGTCTGTCTATTGAGCCCATACGACAACTACCCGCCGGATGATAGGAAGTGGCGCTATAGTATTGTACGAAGCATTTTAAATTTTCTGTACACTCATGCATATACCTGCCGGGGCTTACTGGACAGCCTATTTTGGCAAATAAATATGGCAGCCCCGGCGCCCACCACTATAAAGTCATAACTATTATCCCACGTCTCACGTGATGCCGTCCTGTCGTGACTTATTTGTCGTGTAGTAATCCATGAGAGCACCAAGATCGTATCTGCTAGGGTAGATACTTCAACCATTTTGCAGTAATAGTATTTTTAACAAGTTTAAAGTCAAAAGTTTATTCAGAATTTGTAAATCTAATACAAAATATTACCATATTTTACGCTATTCTAAGTATTTTATATGCTTGTTATGAATTCATATGAATTCATAATTAATAATGAGCCATTTTGCCTTAATTTGTACTGGATAATGATTCATATTACTGTATTTGCAATCTGTTTTCTGAGGAAACTACATAATCATTTCTAAATAACAAAATTTTATTTGGATTTTACAAATAATTCTAACAAAACAGAATCTACTAGAGTACTTTTCTTTATAAAAATACTTATCATATTATAATATTTTGTGTCAAATATTTGATAAGCTAATTAATTATATTACTTTCTGTATTGTATTCAACTTGGAGAACATTAATATAAAATAAATTGTTAAATATAGAATAATAATTGTCAATTAAAATTATACAGTATAATAATAATAAACTAAATACAATTTAACCATTTATGTAAATGATAACATTGAAGAATGCTACAAGTGTGTATTTAACTGTAAATTAACTAGGACAGTGTTTATTAAAATTTAGTATGTATTATATGAAAATAGATTTAATAAATACAAGCAGATAATAAATAATACAGTTACTCTTTATTATTGAAACTGAAAATATAAAATAAAACTTCTTAATAAATTGACAACAAGAATTATAGATTTTATATATAAAGTTTATATTATAAACTATAAGCCAATTAATGTAAGAATATTAAATCAAACTCATAATAAGGAAATAGTTAGATCCAGAAATGTAAACGTATTGATAAAACTCGTATGTATTCATCGGAAACAAATCCAAACAATAGAAACCAATGTCCGGACCCGACAACTGCTCAATGAATGTCATAATCTTTAAACGATTAGAAATTGATATTTGTTTGCATTTTGTCAAATGTGTGTACAATAGTGGTTGAAGTCGTTTGGCAGCATTGGACAACATTGCACTCAACAAAGTCATTGCAATTACAGCTGAAAAACAAAATACAACAACAAATACACAGAATATTCTCAATAATATAGTGCTGTCCCTATGATGTATGCCATATAGGGCTAACTCAAACCCCGGGGTCGCGAAGTAATACATAACAAATGTAATGTACTTGAAGTGGTCATTAAGTTGCTTGATATGGGTTTCTAGTTCAGTTATTTCATGGATAACTTTCATCAATATATTTAGACTAAAATTGTAAAAATTTATTGATTTTAGCGATGATTGAAGTTCTGAATAAAGTTCAGTCGCTTTGAATTGTGAATACAAACAAACACCTAGGTAAGTGGCAAATCCAATATATAACAGGGCAAATGCCTGAATAATAAACACTTGCTGTACAATAGAACCTATGATCAAGCTAATTATTGGGATATTTGTACCCGGGTTCATATATAACATAATTGTTGCTAAAATCCATAGTAATGTTGTGATACAAATGGATGAAACAGTTAACTGATTCAACACGTGGTCAACGAAAAACTTAAAAATTTTCACAAAACGTCTGGTATATTTTGGGCTCAAAGGATATTTAAAGCTATTATATTGAACCTGGATTAGTATTTTTGGGAGTGTCAGTGTATGGCTCATGTCTTGATACAGGACTATAGATCCGATACATAGGATTGTAAACGAAAGTGTAGTTAATATCGAATTGAAGAGAATGGAGTTTCCCAATACAACTGTCCAGTCGTACAATAAGTCTCGTATCCATTGCTATTGAAAATTAATTATTATCTTAATTATGAAATTTATAAAAATAAATTATGTACTGTATACTTTATTAATGAATGCGATTAAAGCGAATCTGATGCAATTGAGCAAGCACATGAGCCGAATAAATATAGCTAGAGATATTCGCCATTTAGAATAAGGACGACCTGATTGTTAAAACATTAATAACTTTTAGTTGCCTGGTTTGAAAAATATAAGGTTTGAAGTGTTTTTGAAATAATATTATCCCTTACCTGACAAATATTCTTCAAAATCACGAAAAAGTGTCACTAAATACAAACCCATTTGATGATTGACCCTGGCTATACAGCATTTCAAATCGGTTAATACTTTATCATATGGATCCATATTGGGGCCCCTTTTAGTTAAATTAAATATTTTTGATTTTATTTGAAGTATATGCATTATATATGAATTTTGGAAGATATAACAAAATTATGATAATTGTGTTACAATACTAGTGAACATTAATCCAGAGTACTAATAATTATTACACAGTATAAATACTTACTGATTAGTTTAAATAAGGGCCAAATATTTACAATACGGTAGAAATAAATTAATAACTTATGATGGTAAATATTAGAAAATGCTTTGTATTGACTTAAACAGATAAATGTTTAAAATACACATTACATGTGACATAAATTTACAGTATATATATCATAGTAGTGTATATTCTTAGAAAATAAATGAACAAAAAATTTAATTTAAATGCAAATTAACTTTATTAAAACTTTATATTTAAAATTAAATAAATATTTGTGCATAGCACTAATCATGAATTTTGTTATCACTATAACCTTGATGATAATCCTCCAACACAAGTGCCGCCCCCTTCTCCCCGACCACGATTGCGGCCGCATTGGTATTGGCGTTCATAACCGTCGGAAATACTGATGAGTCGATTACTCGCAAATTACGGACGCCTTTCACTCTCAACCTCTCGTCCACCACCACATCATCCCTGTCCACAGCACCCATACGACAGGTGCCCACTGGATGTAAAAAAGGTGTAGCTATTTGTTGTATTAAACATTTGTGGTACGACGAGCACTTCCACACCGGTATGTCTGGACAGTACTGACAGCCGGGTATTGGTTCGGGGTTTACGTACACGTGCTCTGAAATGGAGGATTCCTCGACCAAATAGAAGGCGTGGGAAATGGCGTCCAAATATGCCTGCATATCGTCCGGGTGTCTCAACAAGTTTTGCTGGATCATGGGGTATACCTTCGGGTCACGTGATTTTAGTCTAATATAACCCGTGCTTTTAGGGCTGAATAGTACCGGTGCCACTGCCAGGTTGGCATTCTTTTTAACGGTATCCACATATGAACGCCATTCCTCCGGACGTTTGTCCAAATAAAATATATTTTCATATCCCAGTTCATAAGCAGGAACAATACCAACAAGTAAATTAATGTCCGGGTAAGTCCAGTCCGAGTTTACACTGGAGTTAAAATTTAAACAAGATAACGGCGCGGTTGCGAATGCCCCGGTATGGCTCACTATGGAGTCATATAATTGCTGGACATTAGGCTGAGGTCCGGGTAACAATAGACTACTGTTTCTAACAGGCATTGATATGGTTAGTATTACGTGGTTTTGTAGGTTATCACCGACGGGTAGGTCAGACCAAATTGGCGATATCTCGAATTTTTCTAAATGATCCCGGTGCCCAATGCCTGATAGCATTAAAATTTGCGGAGTATTAAAGGGACCTATATTTGACATAAAATAATTTTAGTAATAATTTTTATACGATATTTATAAAACAATAACTGTACCTGCTGATAATATAGTCTCTTTAGTTGCCTGAACACTATATTCTCGGTTCCCTTTTGTGAACTCCACTCCGACTGCTTTTGGTTGTTCACCATTTGGCTGACCCTCAATAAGCACTTTAGTGACAAGTGCCCCTGTTACTATATTGAGTTGAGGGCATATATTAGACTCCAAGTATGAGTTGGCAGTGGACTGTCGGATACCATCCCTGATAGTCGACTGCGTAATACTCGTGCCGTACTGTGTCGGCCCATTCACATCAATTATAGGGTATCCAAATTCATGCAGTGATTGCTGCCATTGTAGTAGTAATGGCTCGGGATTTGGTGGTGTGGACACACCTAGCGGGCCACTGCGGCCGTGATATATGGGATCGACATTAGGATCGGTATTATTCTCTGATTTCTTGAAATACGGCAACAATTGTTCAAAACTCCAACCGTTGGCACCGAAATCACGAGCAATACTGTCGTAAT